AACATTTAAATAATTTTTAATACATGTTAATTTGATGAGTAAAATTTCTCATGAGACTTTAGCTTTGACCAACAAAAATCTGATTCTAAAAACTTTTTTTTCCTTTGAAATTTACTTGCAATTTCAAAAACCTTTTGTCATAAGACTTTTTTAGCCGCACCACTAGATTTGGATGGGCTTTGAGAAATGGTAAAAATATTATTTTTATGATAAATTTTGTTGGGTTTTTTTGAAGTGATACCACGGTAAGGGTATAATAAGAAAGAGATTAGGCAAGGTAAAATTAACCTTAACTTTGTAATCAAACATAGGATTTTGTTTGAACGTGTAGTTAGTTTGAAAACAAATATATGTCATCATTTGTAAAATATATTTGAAACAACCTATGGTCTTATAAATAATGTTGAAATTGTATGCTGAGTGTTGGGTTTGTAAAGCGTGCAAACAAAGTCCCACATTGGTTAGGGAAGAACGTGATCTATGGTATACAACGGAGGACAATTATCTCGATTTATATAAGACCTTTTGGGTGAAACTAAAAACAAAGTCATGACGCTTATGCTCAAAGCGGACAATATCATACTGTTTAAATTTAGCAAATAAATCTCAACTTATTTATGTCTAAAATTTTCTAATTTTACACTTTTAGATTTCTGCATGTAGGATTTTATTTTAATTCCGATTTTACCCTTATTTATTGCATTTACATTTATTATAGTTATTTGTTTTTTTTTTAAATATAAAAGATTTAATTCCATAAATTATTATCATAATCCTTTAATTATTGTGGGTCCCATACTAATTTTTAACACAAATCCCTTAATTCACTCTTTCAAAACCTTAATTTACTCCTTATTTTCCCTTAATCCTCAATCTTCAAGGACAATTCAAAAATCACATAAACATCTTTTGAAGTCTCAATAAACATATATCCGCATATTCAAAATCACAATATATATCCATTTATATATCCGCATATATACATTCAAAATCACTATAGTATATATCTACATATCCACATATATACAAGTTGAGTTATAAGATATATCCACTTATATATCCGCATATATACATTAAAAATCACTATAGTATATATCCTCATATTCGCATATATACAAGTTGAGTTATAAGATATATCCTAATCAAATCACTATACTATATATCCTCACATATACAATATTTCACACGAAATCAGAAATTGAAAACATCCGTTGGAATGCAAACCTTTCAATTGGAGATGAACTGCTATAGCGACTAAGAAAAATGAAGGCGGCCGGAGATGTAGGCAGGCAGACGTTGGCTGGAGACGAAGGCTTTCAGAAATGACCAGAGAATAAGAACCGATGGAAATCTCTTTTCGAAGGCGGCCGGAGATGAAGAAAAGTGGAGCCAACCAGAGAGGAAGGCATACAACGACGAACGGTCGGAGAAAAGGAACGGAGGGTCGGAGGAAGCAAAACCGACGGTCGGAGGAAGAAAAGAAAAATGAGGAAGAAAAAAAGGGTGGGTTTTGGAAATGGATGATTTTTTGGGGTTTTGAGATTTTTTAATTTTCGAAAGTATCATTAGCACATTTTAAGGGATTTGACCTCCCAATTTACCAATTCTATATTTTAATGATCATTTAATATTGAGATGGATCCTATGGATATATTAGTAATTTGTGTTATGAGTACCATTTAATTAGGGACTGTTTCATGACAAAAGTGAAAATTCTACACTTTTCCATCTTTTTACGTAATTATTATTTCTAAATAGATCGTCCTTGTACTAATCCCTAGTTTTTATGGTATCAGAGCGGAAGGTCATGTGTTCGAACCCCTGCGTTGGGGTTTTTCCCCATTTTATTATGATTTCCACTTGTTGGGTCTTGATGTAATTTTCCAAGCCCACAAGTGAAGAGGAGTATTAGATATCCAATATATGAATTAAATTTACCCAACCCATCAGCTTAAGCTTTTGGGTTGAATGGTCGTTTATTCATCCTTAAGATGGTATCAGAGCAAGAGTTCCTGTGTTTGAACGAAGGAGTAGACTCAACTGGCGGTGTTAAGAGGCGATAGAGTTGTTCAAGTTGTGCCTTCGAAAATGGAGGGAGAGAGGTGGTCAAATCTTGGGAGTTTGACGCACTAGGGCCCACTTGATAGCCGGAGGAGCTGGTTCAAGAAGGTGGAGTATTTGTAGTGTGAGTATTTTAAAGATTAATAAACGACCATTCAACCCAAAAGCTTAAGCTGATGGGTTGAGTAAATTTAATTCATATATTTGATATTTAATAAACCTCTCTTCCTCCATTTTCGTAGGCACAACTTGAACAGCTCTATCGCCTCTTAACACTGTCAGTTGAGTCTACTCCTTTGTCAAGTTTCGTGGCACAACGAGGTATTTTAAGTGCAACTTTAACAAGTCAAAAGCATTTCGATCAGTGGATCTTAGATTCGGGTGCCACTGATACCATTTCTCATGATATGTTTACCATGTACTCACCCAACTCGATTCAGACACATGTCAAGCTTGCAGATGGGTCATCAGCCATTATTAACGGCTTTGGTTATGTTATTCTTAGCCTAAGTATTATATTGCAGTTAATGCTCAATGTGCCGAAATTATGTTTCAATCTAATTTTTGTTCAGAAGTTGACTCATGATTTAAAGTGTCAGGCCATGTTCACTTACTCTAAGTGCTTGTTTCAGGACTTGATAATGGGAACGACGATTGGCAGTGCTGATTGCTTTGAAGGGCTCTACTACTTCAGAGAACCAAGTCTAAGAAATAAACAAGTTCTCCAGGTTGGTGGTGAGTCAAATTCTAGAGAACAACAAATTCTACTTTTATATTACCGTTTAGGGGACCCGAGCTTTCAGTATCTTAATCATTTGTATCCTTCATTTTTTCATAAAGATGACATTTTTACTTACGAAGTGTGTCAACTTGCAAAACACTCACGTACATCTTATTCTTCTGTTGAGTATATATCACCCAGTCCATTCACAATGATTCATAGTGATTTATGGCGACCGTCTCGCATCAAAACTATGTCCAGTAAACGTTGGTTCCTTACCTTCACCGATGACCACACTAGGGTTTGTTGGGTCTATTTACTTAAAGAAAAAT